CCAGGGGGTGGCTGATATGGTCACCTGGTACCGTTTGGCTGGGAGTAGAGCTAGAAAGGGTGTAAGGTATCTAACCTCCTTTCTCCTATGCGGGCATGCCCTACTCCCACCTCCATATCTTCCTCTGCCGTATATTGTCTCTATTGGTTGCCCCAGAGACCCCTCAGACCCCCCTGTTTCCCAGCTTGTTCCCCAGCCAGTTCCCTCAGGGAATCTGGCAGCCGGCTGGAGCCCAGCCATAGTCCCACCGTCTCTCACTCAGTGAGCTGTAGAAGGCAGATGTTGTTCAGCTCCCCTGAGTGCAGGAATGCTGGTCTGGTAGGTCCCTTGAAGCAGCTCTGACTTAAAAGCCTTCTTTCCCCTTGAGCCAGGTGGCTGATGTTGGGAAGGGGGAGGCAGCCAGAAGCAACAGGGCCCAGTCCTGCAGAGCAGAGGGAGACTTAGCCAGCTCCCTTGGCAAAAGGCTGGCAGCCGCCCAGCCACAAACCCACCGTCTCTCACTCATTGAGCTGTAGAAGGTAGATGTTGTTCGGCTCCCCTGAGCACAGGAATGCTGGTCTGGTAGGGCCCAGAGAGAGAAAAACGTTTTCAAGCTTATGCCCTCAACCACGTCACACCACGCGATGTTTACTTAGCTTTATTCTGTTAAAATGGACTGTTTTAAAAGCAAGATTGATACTGTGCTCTTGATGATTGCTGCATGAGCCAGCAGCGAAGTAGTGCTTTACAGAGCCAAATGGAACGTGAAGACAGAGAAGTAGATTAATGTTGGTCACAAATGCCAACTAATCAGAACTTTGTATAACTAGTTTTTGCTGGAAAAAATGAAAAACTGGTTTATTTATTATTTAGAACGTTTATATCCACTCTTAATCAAGTCATATCCCAGGACAATGTGTAACAATAGAGATAATCAATTATTCAAAATATAATGCAGTATGCTGAAATACTAACTTCTGTAACCACAGTAAAAGACAGCAAAAAATGAATAAATCATGAGACAAATTAAATTATACAAATGAAAATGCTTGTTTAAAGAGAAATATTTTAGAACTGAAAATGTTATAAAGTAGGTGCCAACGGCACCTACTCTGTAGGGAGTGCTTTCCCAAAGATGGGGACTGGAATTCAAAGATGGGTTGCTTCTGAACTCATTTTTATGGGTTCCACTGAAATCGCTGTTTAGCGAAATCATTGACTAGCAAAAAGCATTTCCCCTTTGGAATGCATTGAAACCTATTTAATGTGTTCCAATGGGGAAGAATTGTCGTTGTCTAGCAAAGATCAGCCATAGGAAAGCTGCTTTGCGAACCGCCGATCAGCTGTTTAAATCGCTGTCTTGCAAAGCTTAGGTCCAGAAAACACCTGTTTTGCGAGCGCGGAGGGAGCTGTCAAAATCGTTGGCTAGCGAAAATCGGTTTGCGAAGCAGGGACCAAACATTGTCCAGCGAAATTCCCCCATAGGAATCACTGTTTTGGCGAATTGCTATAGTGATTGCAAAAATTCAATGTCTAGCAAAAAAACTGTCATGCGGGGTAACTGTCTAGCAAGGCACCACTGCATGTGGCTGAAAGGGCTGAAGGCTCACAAGGAGATGG